AATGAATATTACAGACATTTTTTAGAATATATGTTGAATGTATCAGCCCTGTCTGTGTTGAACTAGAATAATTTGATGACTTATTAGATGAAGGTGTAGTCCTACATTTCTTCTCTTCTCATTGATTGAACATTTCAAAAAGTAAAAGGGTCAATAGTGTTTGGTAAGTTTTAATTTTGGTGTTATGCAGAAAATTACAAAAAGAGCAAAGCAAATCTTTATTAAATATGGATATTACCTGTTTTATTTAAAGAAATTTTGAACATCTTATCCCTGATGCTCCTGAGCTAATACATGATTTTCTGGTGAATGAGAAGGATGCAAGTTGCAAAAGGAATGCATTTATGATGCTAATTCATGCAGATCAGGTAAAGTACTTTCTTGAGGATATTTTTATGACTGTATTTTATATGAGAACTAAAAGTATTATATAGATGTATTCATTTTTTCAGCAAATAATTTTGCTTTTATAGTACCTGTGGCTTGAGTATTTTGATTTTATATAGTATTGGACTTAAAATGTATTTTCTTAATCCTTACCTAAAATACTATGTGTGTGATATATACATTTTTTAAAATAAATAATCAAGGGGCTAGGGAAATGGCTCAGTGGAATAAGTGCTTCCCTGGCAAGTGCAAGAGCCTGAGTTCAATCCCCAGTTTCGCCAAAAAAAATAAATAAAAATTTTTTAAAAGCTACAGTTTTTATTAAGTAATTTCAGATCTATATCAGCAAGGAAAAGAAACAATCAAACTCCAGAGCAGAGTGTCATGGGATGTTATTTAGCTCTTTGTTCTTTATTTGTACTTCTTCCACTCAGCCTTCTCCCCGGCCCAACAGTGGCTTTTTATAGAGTCACACTTAGGCATTTCTGTGGAAGCCAGGGGTTGGCCTTCCATGTGGATATCTATCCTTATTAGGCTCTTCCAGTCGAGAAAGGGCTGCCAGTTCCACACCCTTCTGTGCTAGTGGTTAGAGTATATGGCTGTTTTTGGTTAGCAGTGACTCAGCACACCTTGCTGGCATCTGATTTTGAAAATTTT